CCCCCTGTATATATACATATATATATATATATATATATATATATATATATATATATATATATAGACATTAATAACAATGTTTTTAAATGCTAATAATAAATCGATTTAGCGATAACTGAAATACTCACCAATCCAATATGAGCCATACTCCTTACTTCCAACACGTATTGCAAGTTTTCCCCGATTGCGCCGTATTCGCATATTTCAGGCGTTTGTTGAGTGTCTGACTTGAAAAAGGCATTTCCATGGCCGCCGGCACCACCTCTCGCGGCAATAAACATCATTCCTTCTTTGCTTAAGTCGGCTAATATTTTACCCTTTACATCGCGCACGATCGTGCCAATGGGCACTTTTACTACATTGTGTTCTGCATTTTTACCGAAACAATCCTTGCTGTAACCTTTTTCTCCATCCTCAGCTCTGATCACTGAATTTATATACCTAAGATCTTTTATACTTGATGTCGCCTGCATAATAAAACTGTACATTTTGTATTCTGTACAAACTGGTGTTAATATATTACGCATAAATGTAACATAAATGGATGTTTTCCAACAAAAGACACAAATGACACAGTGAATGCTTTCCATTTAACAACGCAAGTCGACCCGTACAATACAGTGGATCATTTCATCTTTGACATTGACAAGAATGTAATGATTCATAGGGTGATCTGTGTTTCTTGAATGCTGACATCTAGTAATAATCGTATCAATTTATATTTTATTGATTATATTTCTCACGTGATTTGCTTTAGTCGTAATAATCTTACTTCAAATATTACATGACCACCGTGCCCGCCGTCACCACCATCCGGACCAGCTCGATCATTGACCCACAATCGTAAGAACGATATCTGCCCATCGCCACCGTTTCCCCCGATTGTTTTCACCTAACAAAAAACAATCGTACGATTAGGAACTGGTAATGGCTCACGAAATAATGTTCTTACCGATTTTATATCGACAAAATATTGCAGGGTGTCGGTCTTTGATTTGGATTTTGTACTGCGTAAAGGTTTAGCAATGGATTGCTGTTTATGAATGCATGCGGTAGCAGATAATGCTCTAAATCCACTTAAAACTTCGCTCCTGATTCTGTTCTTTTTTAATACGGTCTCACAGCTTTGTTTTTGAATTATGCCACATGCGACGATACTTCTCAAATGACGAAGACGATGCATCTGAAAGGGATGGCAAAAGATGAACGCATCTTACATAATATCAATAATGAGATAAATCAATATATGTACCGTTTTAATAAAATTCAGATTTATTTCTTAACAGAATACACAAAATAATTCTAGGTATGTTTATCTTGAGACGGTGACTTTAAATTTATCTTCTACAAAATTTGCGATTACATTTTGATGTAATTCAATAACTCTTCTCCTATATAACGGCATATAATTTGATTTGTAATTTATCCTGTATGTTCTCTTTATCTCTTCGTCAACAGGAGAGTGATAACAATTAATCAAATCTACATTATCAATAATAGTTCCTGCATAATTATACAGCGACTGATAAAAATCAGCTGTATTAAAATCTCGATCAGTAGACAAAGTTAAATCAAGTGTAAAATTACACGGATGAATACATTTAATATCTAATTTATCTTGGATATTTTTTGTCATGTCTTTCCATGTAATATTATCCACAGTGTATTTAGAAGTGTGTATCTTAGTACTAGGTGTGATATTATGCACCATAGGAAGTTCATCCTTCATAAAAAAATGTGTTAATGAGCCCGCCGTGTGAAATTGCTTATCTAAATTGCGATAGCCCGTTACAATATAATCTCGAAAAGATTGCCACAAAAACGGTTCTATTCTTGTTAATATAAAATTTCCATGTGCAGCCATTTCTACAATTTTCCAGGAATCATCCCAACGTCTCCTAGGTTCATCCATAGGCGTTCCACCTTGACCATTGCATAGTGTTACTAATATTTGACCGTTTTCTTTTATCATTCTTTCAGACGACACAAAAAAGTCTTTCAGTAAGTCCCTATTTCTTTCTATTCTCATTTTACCATCAGCATGGGGAAAGTTAAATATGATTTTGTCGAACCGTTGTGACTTTAATGAGGGACATTCCTCTAACTTTGTAGCATCCACATCAAATAATACACAGATACCTGAAAAGAAAAGCATAGGTTTCTTCCTTTATAACTGATTGACTAATTTGATAGTTAGCATTGTAGACAATATTTATCTTTAATTTACTGACCATTGCTTCGAAGATAATCTACATTTCTTTCTGCAGCTTCTTGATTGGTACCAGATTCATAGCATGTAGCAACAAGTTCTATGTTCAAATTTTGTCGCGACAATACTGCAGAGAATGAAAAGTTGCCTTCTCCTACTAGTAGTACAGAGTCATTTTTATTAAAAATTGACATTGCCATCCTTGTTACTGAAAGCAATCAGATTGTATTCGAGCGGTATATCAGATAAATGCTTTTCTTGTCAGATACAGTGTGAGTGCAAAAATTTATATAGGGGAGATATCTTTTAAAAAATTTTACTTTTACAAAGCAAAAATGAAAAATTGCATTACTTGGGCGCATAAAAAGTATTCATATACAAAGAATTTATTATAGCTTCTAAGATTATAAACACAGTCAGTTTTGCAAAGTCCTTTGTTTACATCAGGATAAGGTAAATAAATTGCTAATTAATTTTATTTTCTACAAATAAAGCTTTTTTTTATAAAAATTTCTCCTGTATGAATACTTTTTACATTCACTGTAGATTTACATCAGTTGTGTATTTTATCAAAAATTCATTAAGGATAAGTTAAGTATTAACATTTATAGGTTAAGAAAATTAGATTAGGGAGCCACGTAATTTTTCGTAACTCCGCAATTAGAATTCGGCAAGTTTGACTAACCTTCTATTTTAATATTATCCTCTCACGTCAAAATACATAACCAATCCTATCACAAATATATTTTTGCGTCTATTTATTCGTTAAAAAAATGTCAACGTAAGTTCGCTACTACAATCGCACGTGAACGCATGATAGATATATTTCCACCATGCGTGAACGATCAGTCCGGATCTACAATAGGTGTTTTATGCCTTATGCCGTAAGAAACTGACCAATTACAGTCGAATCCGAGAAGAATAAGCGACTGTGATTCGCCCATTTCTTATGGCTTAAGGCTTAAAACCCTATTGTAGATCCGGTGTCATAGCTAAGTTCTAAGGGCCTGCGCACAATAGAGGAACAAGAATTAGATATTAAGATTTCAACCTATCAGAAACCGCGTATTCCGATGTAATCAGTTTCTGATAGGTTGAAATCTTAATATCTAATTCCTGTTCCTCTATTGTTCTCAGGCCCAGCCTGTTCTACAATACGTCGTGTGTCACTGTCGGATGTCGTTTTTCACTGTCGCGAGTCGGCTGTCGACGTCGGTACATACGAATTCAACATTCGTATGTACTTGACCGGACAAAACCTCCGGTTGTAAAAATTATTATTTTAAATCGTTTGTATTTCGTATAAAGAGTTTTGAAGTACAAATAAAAAGGTTTGTGAGTCATTGTATTAATTACAATTAATCATTCTTTTTTGGACCATGTACTTGACCGAAATAATTAACCGAATTTAAATTCAACAAAGTTTAAACATGGAATCGTTTGTATTTCGTATGAAGTACCATTAAAAACGTTTGTAAGTCATCCATTTTTAATTAAATATTAAAATATCATGTATTTGACCGAATTATAGATATAGGCCCTACGGTCACGGAAATTCCGTTGGATAGGTAGTCTCTCTAGTATTTTGATATTCCATGACTGTATCTGGAGACACTGGTAGTGTCTCGGCGCTAAGCCAAAGCGTAGCGACACTGCCGTGCCTCCTTTTTATGAAATACAAACAATTTAAAATAATAATTTTTATAACCGGAGGTTTTGTCCGGTCAAGTACATACGAATTCAACTCTCATCTTTTACGACAACGACTCGACTGGATAAACATAACCTTTATTATTTTACGGTATCTTATCATGGAATCATTAACTGCAGATGAAATAATTATTGATATTGTTCGCGAAAGTCATTGCATATATGACAAACGTGATGTGGATTATAAAAACATTAAGAAAAAGAACAATCCATTGCGAACAATTATTCCGACATTCGACTCAATTGTAGAATGGTTTGTTGCATTCATCATGGTGGAAATACATATATAAGGTGAAACAATACGCATAATGGCGGTAGCAATACTGGAAATAGCCAATCAAATATGTCCGAATATGCACTTTCCTACTGCGCATCTATCAGATTCTATTCTATTCTTCGTATTTGTGTGGCCCTCGCCACTGAAGATGGCGGCGACTCCAGCCAGAAACGAAACTGGAGCAGATATCTGGAACAAGCCAGGCGGAGAGCCGCTTGGTGAGAGAAGAGGGGGATTACTCTTCCCCTCATCCCTCTAAGAGCGGAGCATGCATACATGAATATCACACCTTTAGATTGAGAGACTTTAAATAAGCGACAATTAAGCGACAGAGAGTGGGAGGAGGGTTCTTGAGTATATGATGCATATCGATAGGAGATAGTGGAAAGTGTTTTTTAATATAAGAACGCAATTTGGCTGATTTACCAATACATAATCTGCAATAAAAAATTATATGATTAATATCTTGTCTGGGGTCTCCACAGAAGCAAGATGGAGAGTCGACAATGCCCTTTCTATGGAGACTGTAAGCAAGGTTATAATGGTTCGAGCGTATTCTGGAGATAGTAACAATCTCCTCCCTATTAAGAGATTTATCATAAAACCAAGGCTTAGATAGGGTATTTCTGTAGTAATTATCGAATAGTTGCCCTTTATAAGAGGCGGAATGATCGAGGTAAGCTTGAAATTTTCTCTTATGCGAGTCTCGGGATAAGGCTAACAGGTCATGATAGGGAATTTTGAATTTAGGGCGTCGGCCACGGAGGGCAGCTTCCCTGGCAAGTTCATCAGCTCTCTCGTTCCCATAAATGCCCTTGTGTCCTGGTACCCATACCAGGTTGATGGTAAATCCATTATTGACCATCTTGCGGAGCAGGTCCCTTATTTCGAAGACGAGGTAGTTGACGTCTTTGCGTTGATGTGAGGAGATGGCGCGTAATACGCTGAGTGAGTCGGAGAAGATGGTAAAGGTGTCACAACAGCGATCCTCCACCAGGAGAATGGCACGAATAATAGCCCAAGCCTCCGCCGAGAAGACGGAGGCCTCTGGGGGGAGCTTGTCCTTGATGATCCAGTTAAGGTCTTTAGAATAATACACACCAGCGCCCACTGAGCCTCCATCCTCGGATTTGGAGCTGTCCGTAAAAACTAGAGGTCCTTTAGCAGAGTATGTTGTAGATAGTTCCCGGAAGCGGGTTCTGAAGACAAGGCTGCTGGAATCTCTAGGCATCGACGTCATGGATTCATCAATGGGGTGAACATAGGTGTAAGAATCCAAACAAAAGTTGTAAGCCAGAGGTTTATTGGATCTTCTTATGATGTTCATCGCATATTTTTGAGTGACGTATCTTTTTAAAATGGGGATAGAGTTGAGCGCTTGCGATCTTCTGGTTGGGGAGTATGAGACATTTTCAACATATTTGAAGCTTTGTAGAGTGGTGGAGTTCATCATGGTTCGAAAGATAAACCTGGAAGACATGAGATCAAATCTCAGATTTAGAGGAGTTTCCTTAGCTTCCGCCATTAAGACATTTATGGCGGTAGATTTCCTATAGCCTAGAGCTATTCGCATGTTCCGGTTAACTAGGCGTTCCAGCTGTTGGAATTCGCATTGATTGCCTTTAAGCTTGAAAATTTGACAACCATATTCAATAGCGGATCTGAAAATAGCTCTATAAAGGCATAACATCAGTCTGGGATGGGACCCCCATCTAGTGCCCGCTAGGACCGAAAGTATGTTGGTAAGATTGCGGCCTTTTTTGATAAGATGCTTGAGGTGTTCCTTACCTTTGAGTTTCGAGTCCAGAATAATTCCCAGAAAGGTAAATGAAGTGACGCGAGGTATGTCTTGGCCCCTAATACTTAGCGCCAGGTCAGGGCGAGCGTTGCGTCTTCTCGAAAATAAAAGCCATTTGGATTTAGTGGGAGACAGATCCAGTCCTCTAGAGCGTAGATACGCAAATATGTTGTTCAGAGAGATTTGAATTGAGTGACGTGCCTCCTCTTCATTAAGGCTTATACTAAAAATGACAATGTCATCAGCATACTGTAGTAGGTTAGAATCCTCATGCAAACAACTGTTAATATCAGCGCAATACAAATTGAAAAGCAGAGGACTAAGAGCAGATCCCTGAGGAGTGCCCTTCAGAGAGGTGAAGGGGCCCTGAAGTTCTCCTTCACAGACAAAATAGATGCTTCTTTCAAAAGTAAGATTTGAAATAAATTTTCTTGTTCTTGCAGGGATGCCCAGCTTTTGCAGTCCTTCAACTAGGATTGAGGGGATGACATTGTCAAAAGCCCCTTCAATGTCGAGAAAGGCACAGAGGGTGACTGCTTTGTTTAGGAATCCACCCTGTATGTAGTTGGTGAGTGAGACCAAGCTGTCTATGCAGGAGCTCATGGGGCGAAACCCCAGTTGGTTAGTGGGGAGAAGGGCTCTGGATTCCACTAGCCATTTTATTCTCCAATAAATAATTGTTCTTTTAAGAACAATAAGAAAGGAATCCGGTCCGAAGAGACGCGAGCATAAGACATAAGAAAGACAATGATATTATATTTACGATAATTTATTCAAGTGAGATAATCAAAACGTTCTAATAAATATAGTTTAAATTAAATAGAACCAGGGTGAATGAAATATCGATGGCTTGGTTTCAATCCTCTATTGCCGATTGTTATGCGATGTGAAGCATCCTCCCGTTCAGAAATAACGCTTTATCTGCAAACAAATAAACAAGAAGACGAGGGGAGGGGTTGTAAATCCCTATTCCTCATAGACAATCCTTCTAATTAATGTCTTGATAAC